TGACTCCTCTGAAGGTGCTACTAGAAGGAGACTAGTGAAGGAGGCCACTGAGACTCCTGTGACTCCTCTGAAGGAGCTACTAGAAGGAGACTAGTGAAGGAGGCCACTGAGACTCCTGTGACTCCTCTGAAGGAGCTACTAGAAGGAGACTAGTGAGGGAGGCCACTGAGACTCCTGTGACTCCTCTGAAGGAGCTACTAGAAGGAGACTAGTGAGGGAGGCCACCAGGACTCCTGTGACTGGCAGCATCATGATGTGGACCCCTGAGAATTCGTGTCTGGACTTAAAAAGTTCTGTCCACTCATGATCTCTGTGGAATCTGACAGAGTTTTACAAAGTAGATTGAGGTAAGATGACAAAGTGCATTCTGGGTAAACGTTCCAGGCTCACATCAGCGTGTGTGGTGGTGGTGGGTCAGAACCAGTTTCATCTCTGAGACCCGATCCAGTCTGTGGCTTCAGACATTAAACTGCTGCAGCTCCCTGTTCAAACTCTGATTCATTCTTTAACACTGACGCTCAGCAGGTTACATAAAATACATTAAACAGGTCAAATGAACAGAACCCAGGTCCAGGGCAGTTTCTGTTGCTGGGCAGGTTCGGTCTCTCCCAGATGTTTCTGTTTTTCAGTTTGTCTGAAAGTCGACTGCTAACCATGAACAGCCCCATGACTCATCCCTGACGCTGCACAAACAGCATCCAGACATTCTTCAGGCCTCCATTTACTGACGGACCAGCGCTGCGACTGCACATCATGAGGCTGGATGTGGCTGTCGGAGTCTGAGGCTCTTCCTCAGGCTGCTCTCTGTATGTTGGAGCGCTACACATGTGCCTCTGCTCATGTTTAAGGTTTATTCTGTGACATCACATCAGTCTGAGGTGCTCAGCAGGTCGATGCTGAAGGAAGTGATGTCATCAGGAAGACTGAAGTTTTTCTGACTAGATGGTAACTGGAAGTTTTTCAACAATTTACTGTTGTTCACAGATTTTCTCTGTTTTGTGGGATTGAACAGAACGTCTGGTTTAATCACAGCAACACGTTAGCTGGAAAACAAAATCTGTAAATCTGTTCGTTATGATGCTAAATTCTGCCTTTAACACATCTGACCACAAAGTTTCACTGTTTCTACTGTAAATCAGAAAAACACATATTTTACAGATGGTTGCTGTTATCTAATATATATATAATATATATATATANCTGCTCATCAGCAAAGGCCTCTCATTGGTCCGCTGCTCATCAGCAAAGGCCTCTCATTGGTCCGGGACAGTTTTGTTTTTTTAAATTATTCTTTTCAACCACAATTCAAAATCAACATCTTGTTTCACTTAATTATAATTTAACACATTTGTATTTATTGTGACTTTTTCCAGTTTCTAGTTATTTGAGGGACTGTTGTGGATTCTGTCTTTTCTTTAATGGACGGGGATGAATACATCTGAGGAGTTTGGAGAAGATTCTCCTCTGAAAGGCCAGAACACGGCAGATCAGAACCTGTTTTTGCTGCAAAGACAGTTAGAGCCACAGAGAGGAACCTGAAGAGCCCGACGAGCTGGAGGTTTTATTACCCCACTAAAGGTCAAAATGCATATTTTCCATTTTTTTAAGGCAACTTTTCCAGGCCACAATTCAAACGGACTTTAGAGAGCTCTGTTAGACTCATTTCCACAGTTTGGACCCAGAACCAGTTTAACTTTGTGTGTTTCGGGACAACATGCTGACGTCTGATTGAGTTTCATAAATCCTCCTGAAGCATGAGCGCTACTTGTCGTTTCCTCTGGAGCAGTTCTTTTTGTCGTAATGCCAAACAACTGTGCAGAACTTTTGCTGTTTGTGTGTGTGTGTGTGTGTGTGTACTGATTGCGGCGCTGTGGTTCTCTGGCAGATCGGACCCTTCACGACGGCACACACTCACTTCTCTTGATGGCGGCTCTGATGGATGACAGAGGTCCTTGGCTGCAGAGAGAAGGGAAAGGAAACCATGAGTCACTTTATTTCACCTCCTCCCTCCATAAAACTCCCAGTTTTCCACTGACAAACACTCGCTGATCCACCCAGTTCAGCCTCAGAGCTCCATCTAGCTCCACGCTCACACAGCTGATGGTTCAGAGCCTTGCTAAAGGGAACCTGGGCAGGTGAAGGGAGATGTTGAAGCTGCAGGCCTATTGCAGCATTCAGCCCTGAGAAACTCCCCTTTGTGATGCTTTAGTGTCAAAGAGGAAACAGATTTCTACAAAGTCATGTCAGTTAATTAAAAACATATCCTGTATATAAGTGACTGCATCCGTATGCACCCTGTTTAAAGGGACTCGACTACCTGAACTCTGAAGAACCCTCCAAGAAATCTGGGAAAGGTTGTTGAGACGCATCAGTCAGGAGACGATACCAGAACATTTACAAGTTACTGAACATCATCATTAAGACATGGAAGGACTATGGACCATGAGTAGATCTGACTGGAGCAGGACGTCCTCAGAGACTGAGAGACCGGGCAAGAAGGAGACTAGTGAAGGAGGACACTGAGACTCCTGTGACTCCTCTGAAGGTGCTACTAGAAGGAGACTAGTGA